AGATGACCAATGCAAACAAGCGCACTGAGGCGCAACAAAAAATTTCATGGTGAATACTAGACACTTGTAGGCATCAATAAATTATTCTGGAAACACAACGCTGTTATCAGTTCTATGCCATGCTGTTGAGAATTGCTCTAGAACTGTCGAAAAGCTTTTGTTTATTTTAGTAAAATCAAAAGTAGTTGATTGTCTCCGAAAATATTAGAGTCTTGACCTCACCCAATCAATTATGGTAGCATAACTGTACTCTCAGTGTGCTAATAACTGTTAGAGGACTGAGGTCGACCAGTTAACAATGGGCGTAATTGGAATAAGTAGGACAAAATGACTCAGGCGTAAACACCAGGCCTGCACATACCGCTACGAAAGCAATGAAGACCCAAGCGTAAGTCCTACCTGTCAATTATCAAGATGATGGCCAAAACAGGATCAGCCGCACTCACGTACACGAACCAGATTCCTAATAATTAATGACTCGGCCTACAACGTGCAGTTAGCGCAAGGAAGGCGTAAACACAGGTGAAACTCTGGTTGGAATCACTATTGAAAAAAGGACCTCACAACGAATAATTTAAGTGTGGAGTAAGCATCATCCTAAGGGATATTTGTGAGTAAAACACACGCCCAAAGCCAAACCTGTCTTTTATGCATTTCTTTTTAGTTGACAATAGCTTGTAAATGGTGTTACGAATCTCTGATTCCTTATCCGTTTAAATGAGACGAAATCTAAATTTATATCGAGTTGGAGCACAACACGGATTCGTCACTCAAAAACAACCATTTACACCCAATAATTTTAAATCGAATTCTGCAGCACAAATTAGCCCTAATGTTAATTTTGGCAAACAGACAAAGCAAAACCACTTCCACCAGATTTAATACCAAAGCCCTCTCCTTATCCTCATAGAATAAATTTGAGAGACGCTTGAAGTAACGCCGGTATCGCTTGTTAGTGACAGTACAAAATATGCGGCTGGTCTTTCCTAGAATGAGTGGCTCAGTGCCAGTGCTTGTTAAGATTTGAGGGTAGAGCAAACCATTCAGGTAAACTGACGGAGCCCTATGGTAATAAAGTGGAAATTGAGAAGAGAGTCCAGAAAACAGGACTCACCGAATCCGGTTGCGAAGAGGAATGAGAAAGTGCCACCTTGACGAGACGGAAGATTGGCACATCCGAGCAGTTGGCAGATGCGGCAGGATGGTTAATTTGGATGCGCTCCTCACGGTTGGGTGACACCATAAACAGGCTCATGCTAAACGGCGACTTAAACTCAACCATGTTCGAGTCGCGAGCTCCCTTCAGGAGGCAGAAAGTACACATTTGGAAACAAAAAACAAAATCAGACTAGAATCATTGAAAACTTACGGAAGATATACTTAGATAACTAAAATAAACAGCGGATTTCTTTATGTAAACAAAAAACAAGTCAGTGAGTACAATGATAGCGAGATAAGGTTTGAGACTTATGAGACGTTGGACGAAGCCCCTCCCCATACGTCAACTGATTGAGAAATACGTACACATCATCCGCTAAATGATATTGGAGCTCTCCGTCCGTTTAAAAACTCGCCTTTTGATGACTACAAACACAAA